AAACAGCATTAAAATTAATCAAATAACAACACAACACAGTCACAACATTAAAACAATATCATGGCAGAGAAACAGAGCTGGGCTGGATCTAGGCTCAAGAAGTGCAGTGAACCCAGCAAGTTGTAGTTTGATGAGGCACCAGAACTCTATGTCAGAGACAGCTAAAGCACTTGTAAAACTACAACTCCCACTGAGCCATGGAAGTTAATGTGGAGGACTCAAACTGCATGAATTCTGCAGCTGAAGGATCCAAGTTTGACTCTGCTTTGAAAGAAGTACTTTGGTTCCCTCTGCTGTCTGTTGCGTATGGTTGCAGCAAGTGCTGAACCAGCCTTGGTTGGTGGACTCCTAGGATGAATCTACACTGCAGAATGAATGCTATGTTAAGCAAAGGACAAGAGGGATACTCTCACCTCTGCAGGTGAGAGGCGTATACCATGCAGCCCTGGACAAGTCTACATAGGGATCACTAAACGCAGCAGCATTGCTCAAACACAAATCAAGGAATGTAAAAGGCGCTGAAGACTAATTCAACCAGAGAAGTCAGTCATAGCAGAGCACCTGATGAACCAACCTGGACACAGCATGTTATTTGAGAACACAGAAATGCTGGACCACTCTCACAACCACCATGTCAGACTACACGGAGAAGCCATTGAAATCCACAAGCATGTGGACAATTTCAGCAGACTTATTAGTTTAATTGAGAAGTGTGGGTCAGGATACACTGATGAACCATTGAAATTCACAAGAATTTCAACATAAAGGAAAAAATCATGAAAAGGAACAGAATTTATTTATTTACATTTATATGCCGTCCTTCTCACCCTTATCTCCTGACGTTTCGCCTGCATCTATTGCAAGCATCCTCATAGGTAGTGAGGTCTGTTGGAACTAGGGAAAAAAAGGGTTTATATGTCTGTGGAATGACCAGGATGGGACAAAGGGCTCTTGTCTGTTGGAGCTAGGTGTTAATGTTTCAACTGACCACCTTGATTAGCGTTTGATTGCCTGGCAGTGACTGGAGCTATATTTTGTTGAGAGGTGATTAGATGTCCTTGTTTGTTTCCCCTCTGCTGCTTTGCTGTTAATTTTAGAGTTTTTTAATACTGGTAGCCAGATTTTGTTCATTTTCATGGTCTCTCCTTTCTGTTGAAATTGTCCACATGCTTGTGGATTTCAATGGCTTCTCTGTGTAGTCTGACATGGTGGTTGTTGGAGTGGTCTAGCATTTCTGTGTTCTCAAATAATATGCTGTGTCCAGGTTGGTTCTGAACCACTTAAACTGGTCTCTACAGGCCAATGGAGACTCCACCTCAGACATCAGAAGAGCTGCAAGACCGAGAACAAGCCACGAGAGTCAAGACCAAGATCCATCCAGAGGAAAAGTGTTCTTGCCAGACATCAAGGGAACCACTGACCGCATAGGGAAGCTGATGAGGAAACACAACATACAAACTATCTACAGACCCACCAAGAAAATCCAACAAATGCTACGTTCAGCAAAGGACAAGAGGGATCCTCTCACTTCTGCAGGAGTCTACCGGATACCATGCAGCTGTGGACAAGTCTACATAGGGACCACCAAATGCAGAAGTATTGCCCAAACACGTATCAAGGAACATGAAAGGCACTGCAGACTACTTCAACCAGAGAAGTCATCCATAGCAGAACACCTGATGAACCAACCTGGACACAGCAGATTATTCGAGAACACAGAAATGCTGGACCACTCTCACAACCACCATGTCAGACTACACAGAGAAGCCATTGAAATCCAGAGGCATGTGGACAACATCAACAGAAAGGAGGTAAGCATGAAAATGAACAAAATCCGGCTACCAGTATTTAAAAACTCTAAAATTAGAACAGCAAAACAATAGAGAGGAAACAACCAAGGACATCTAATCAACTCTCAACAAATGTTTGCTCCAGGCACAGTCAGCCCATTGTATGCTAATCAAGGTGGTCAGTTGAAACATTCACACCTAGCTCCAGCAGAGTCCTTTGTCTTACCCTGGTCATTCCACAGATATATAAACCCCTTTTCCTAGTTCCAACAGACCTCACTACCTCTGAGGATGCTTGCCATAGATGCAGGCGAAACGTCAGGAGAAATGCCTCTAGAACATGGCCATGTATAAATATGTGAGAGGAAGCCACAGGGCGGAGGGAGCAAGCTTGTTTTCTGCTTCCCTGGAGACTAGGACACGGAACAATGGCTTCAAACTACAAGAGAGGAGATTCCATCTGAACATGAGGAAGAACTTCCTGACTGTGAGAGCCGTTCAGCAGTGGAACTCTCTGCCCCGTGTGGTGGAGGCTCCTTCTTTGGAAGCTTTTAAACAGAGGCTGGATGGCCATCTGTCAGGGGTGATTTGAATGCAATATTCCTGCTTCTTGGCAGGGGGTTGGACTGAATGGCCCATGAGGTGTCTTCCAACTCTATCATTCTATGATTCTATGTAGCCCGAAAAAACCTACAACAACCTAAGGCAGCTCCTTTTTCTGCTCTATTTGAACAGACTGTTGAGAGAAGAGGCGTGGCCAGACTGAGAAAATCTCGCGAGAAGAAGCAGCCCAACTAAGGCACCGCCTCTTTCTTCTATGTGAGTAGACAGTGCAGAGAGAAAGGGCGTGGCCTCGCTGAGGAAGTCTCGCGATAAGAATTACCAGGTTGAGGGATACATGAGGGAAGACTGTATTGACAGAAGAGGAGCGGCCAGGCTGAGGAAGTCTCGCGAGAAGAAGGGCCCCTTTCCGCTTATTCTTATGCGAATGAAGCCTGTGCCGAGGAAGTCTCGCGAGAAGAAGTACCCCAACTAAGGCACCGCCTCTTTCTGCGAGAGAAGACTGTGAAGAGAGAAGAGGCGTGGCCTTGCTGAGGAAGTCTCGCGAGAAGAAGGGCCCCTTTCCGCTTATCCTTATGCGAATGAAGCCTGTGCCGAGGAAGTATCGCGAGAAGAAGTACCCCAACTAAGGCACCGCCTCTTTCTGCGAGAGAATACTGTGAAGAGAGAAGAGGCGTGGTCTCGCTGAGGAGGTCTCGCGAGAAGAATTAGCGGGCTGAGGGATACATGAGGGAAGACTGTATTGACAGAAGAGGAGTGGCCAAGCTGAGGAAGTCTCGCGAGAAGAAGGGCCCGCTTTCAGTCTTTCTTATGCGAATGAAGCCTGTGCCCAGGAAGTCTCGCGAGAGGGCGGGGCTGAGGCCTTTGCCGGCTGAGGCGCCGCCTCCTCCTCGCCTGGATTGGAGGGGCTGAGGGAGCTGAGGGAGCGAGGCCTTCTCTTCCTCCTCCTGATCCGCGATGCCGGGCGGGCGGGCGTGCGCGGTGTGCGGCGGCTGCGAGATCGAGGTAGACTCTGCCCGCGGGGATGCGGTGTGCACGGGATGCGGCTCCGTCCTGGAGGACAACATCATCGTCTCCGAGGTGCAGTTCGTGGAGAACAGCGGAGGAGGATCCTCGGCCGTCGGGCAGTTCGTCTCCCTCGACGGTGCGTCCCAGAAAGGAAGGAAGGAAGGAAAGGGCAGGTTGCTTCTGCTCCAGGCATGGCCCAACTTGGGCCCTCCCTCCAGGTGTTTTGGACTTCCAAAACACCTGGAGGGAGGGCCCAAGTTGGGCCATGCTCGTTGTATAAAACCATAGCCCTATCCAGTTTGTTTATGATTGTGTTTTGGAAGCTTTCATGGCCGAAATCACTGGGTTACCGTGAGTTTCACGGGTTGTCTGGCCATGTTCCAGAAGCATGCTCTCCTGACGTTTCACCTGCATCTATGGCAAGCATCCTCAGAGGTAGTGAGGTCTGTTGGAACTAGGAAAATGGATTTTATATATCTGTGGAATGACCAGGGTGGGACAAAGGACTCCTGTCTGTTGGAGCTAGGTGTGAATGTTTCAACTGACCACCGTGATTAGCATTTGATTGCCTGGCAGTGCCTGGGGCAATCTTTTGTTGAGAGGTAATTAGATGTCCGTGATTGTTTACTCTCTGTTGTTTTGCTGTTGGGATTTTAGAGTTTTTTAATACTGGGAGCCAGATTTTGTTCATTTTCATGGTTTCCTCCTTTCTGTTGAAATTGTCCACATGCTTGTGTATTTCAATGGCTTCTCTGTGTAGTCCTATGAACCAACTAGGACATTAAGATCATCTGAGGAGGCCCTGCTCTCAGTCCCGCCTGCATCATAGGCGCGCCTGGCGGGGACGAGAGACAGGGCCTTCTCAGTGGTGGCCCCTCAGCTGTGGAACACCCTTCCTACAGATATCAGATTGGCCCCCTCCCTAGTGGCGTTTCGGAGGAAAGTGAAGACCTGGCTGTTCAAACAAGCATTTAATTAAGCAGTGTAATGAATATAGGAACACGGATTAATGGATGATGAGATTGGCTTCTGCTTTTACTGATGAGACGCTAATGATTGTTATATTGATGTTTAATTGTTGATGATGGTATTGATTTAACTGTCCCATAATCGTTTTATGATGTTTTGCATTGAATTTTGCTCTTGTTAACCGCTTTGAGTCGCCTGAGGGCTGAGAAAAGCGGTATATAAATGAAGTAAATAAATAAATAAATAGTCTGACATGGTGGTTGTCGAATAATACGCTGTGTCCAGGTTGGTTCATCAGGTCCTCTGCTATGGCTGATCTCTCTGGTTGAATTAGTCTGCAGTGCCTTTCATGTTCCTTGATTTGTGTTTGGGCAATGCTGCGTTTGGTGGTCCCTATGTAGACTTGTCCACAGTTGCCTGGTATACGGTAGATTCCTGCAGAAGTGAGAGGATCCCTCTTGTCCTTTGCTGAACGTAGCACTTGTTGGATTTTCTTGGTGGGTCTGTAGATAGTTTGTATGTTGTGTTTCCTCATCAGCTTCCCTCTGCGGTCAGTGGTTCCCTTGATGTATGGCAAGAACACTTTTCCTTTGGGTGGTCTTTACTCTCATGGCTTGTTCTTGGTCTTGCAGCTCTAGGTATGAATGCTTCAACTGACCACCTTGATTAGCATTTGATGGCCTGGCAGTGCCTGGAGCAATCTTTTATTGAGAGGTGATTAGATATACCAGATTGTTTCCTCTCTGTTGTTTTGCTATTGTAATTTTAGAGTTTTTTTTTAATACTGGCAGTATTTAATACTGGAGGTCTGTTGTAAATTAGTCAAGCGAGGTTTAGATATCTGTGCAATGGCCAGGGTGGGAAAAAGAGCTCTTGTCTGTTTGAGGCATGTATGAATGAAATAATAATAATAAAACTTTATTTATACCCCGCCTCCATCTCCCCAAGGGACTCAGAGCGGCTTACATGAGGCCAAGCCCAACAACACATCAATAAACAAAAAAGGAATAACAAAGAATAACAACAATACAATTAAATACAAAACATATAAACATTAACATGCAAGGACATAAAAACCTATGGCCGGGCCATATGTAATAGTTAAAAATTAAAAAAATAAATGCTGGGCATGAACAAGGTAAGATATATCAAATAGGAGGGTTTTAAAGAAGTGAGGAGAGTGCAATCTAACTGATAGTTAAAGTGCATTTGAGGACATTTTGCTGGGAAATATTTCCTTATTTCCTTCTCATTGGTGGCCCCTCAGCTGTGAAACTCCCTAGGGATATTAGATCAGCCCCTTCATAGACTCATAGAATTGGAAGAGACCTCATGGGCCATCCAGTCCAACCCCCTGCCAAGAAGCAGGGATATTGCATTCAAAGCACCCCTGGCAGATGGCCATCCAGCCTCTGTTTAAAAGCTTCCAAAGAAGGAGCCTCGACCACACTCCAGGGCAAAGAGTTCCGCTGCTGAACGGCTCTCACAATCAGGAAGTTCTTCCTCATGTTCAGATGGAATCTCCTTTTTTGTAGTTTGAAACTATTATTCCGCATCCTAATCTCCAGGGAAGCAGAAAGCAAGCTTGTTCCCTCCTCCCTGTGACTTCCTTCCCTCCTGACCTTCTGCACATGGCTTTTTGAACAAGCCATTTGGGAACCTACTGCAAAAAATAAACATGGAACTATGTGAAGTTGAACACGGTTTAGATCAGGGATCCTCAAACTAAGGCCTGGGGGCCAGATACAGCCCTCCAAGGTCATTTACTCTGCCCTCGCTCAGGGTCAATCTAAGCCTGAAACAATTTGAAAGCACACAACAACAACRATCCTATCTCAGCCAAAATCAGGTTCACACTTCCCATTTAAATACTAATAAGTCTGCTGAAATTGTCCACATGCTTGTGGATTTCAGTGGCTTCTCTGTGTAGTTTGACATGGTGGTTGTGAGAGTGGTCCAGCATTTCTGTGTTCTCAAATAATACGCTGTGTCCAGGTTTGTTCATCMGGTGCTCTGCTATGACTGACTTCTCTGGTTGAATTAGTCTGCAGTGCCTTTCATGTTTCTTGATTCGTGTCTGGGCAATGCTGGGTTTGGTGGTCCCTATGTAGACTTGTCTGCAAACCCCACCTCCTCCAAGATGAACTGAACCACTGTACAGGCCAATGGGTACCATAGACATCACCACAGACATCAGAAGAGCTGCAAGACCGAGAACAAGCCACGAGATTAAAGACAAAGATCCATCCAGAGGAAAAGTTTTCYTACCATAAATCAAGGGAACCACTGACTGCATAGGGAAGCTGATGAAGAAACGCAACTTACAAACTATCTACAAGTCCACTAAGAAAATCTAACAAATGGTACGTTCAGCAAAGGACAAGAGGGATTCTCTCACCTCTGCAGGRGTCTACCGTATACCATGCAGTTGTGGACAAATCTACATAGGGACCACCAAATGCAGCATTGCCCAAACAYGAATYAAGGAACAGGCTAATTCAAGCAGAGAAGTCAGCCATAGCAGCGCATTTGATGAACCAATCTGAACACAGCATGCTATTTGAGAACACAGAAATTCTGGATCACTCTTAACAACTACCATGTCAGACTACACAGAGAAGCCATTGAAATTCACAAGCATGTGGACAATTTCAACAGAAAGGAAAAAAACCATGAACATAAAAAAAAAATCTGGCTACCAGTATTAAAAAAAAACTCTTGAATCATAACAGTAAATAAAGAACAATACTCAAAAAATGTAAATTTAGACAAGAATCAATCAAGCTAACGGCTCCCAACAGAGATTCCCCCAGGCAGCAACTAGTCAGGCTTTGACGCTACAATGACATTAGAATCATAGAATCAAAGAGTTGGAAGAGACCTCATGGGCCATCCAGTCCAACCCCCTGCTAATGAACATGGCTAATTGCAACATTTACACTTGCTTCAAGCAGACAATAGTTTTTTCTCCCACCCTGGACATTCCACAGATATCTAAACCTAGTTTCCAACAGACCTTACAATCTCCGAGGATGCCTGCCATAGATGTGTGTGAAACATCAGGAGAGAATGCTTCTGGAACATGACCATACAACCCGGAAACCACATGGCAGCTCATTGCTTATTATTGCTTATTACTAACCAGAGCGAAGTGTGAAGAGCCCAATGCCCTTATTTGCAGGGGATATATTCTGGGCTTCAAGTAGGTTTCATGTTTATGCATTGAGTGGAAAAACAATGGATTTTGGCTTTGAAGTGCTGGAGTTCTTAGGCCAACCTTAAAAACTGTGGCATAGACACTGAGAACTGGGAACCCCTGGCATGTGGTGGAGGATTCTTTGGTGGCCTTCTGTTGGGAATGCTTTGATTTTGATGCACAGCAAGGGGTTGGAATGGATGCCCCTTGTGGTCTCTTCTATATGATTCTATGAACCTAAGGGATGAACCATATCACGAGATTTTCTTGGCAAGATCTGTTTTGATTGAGTTTGCTGTAGCCTTCCCCTGAGGCTGAGAGTGAGTGGTTTTCCCAAGTGGGTTTTGTGATCAGAGGGGAGTTGAACCCTGGTCTTTGTGGTCACAGTCCATTGCACAGGCACTACATTATTTGCCTCAGTCTTGGACTACAACTCCCAAGTGAAGGCCAAGACAACACAAGCAAATAAGGAAATAATAACAAAAGCACCACACCCCCCAACCATTATTGACTTCAGGCATAGGCATACTTGGGCTCTCCAGGTGTTGTTTTGGACATGAGCATTCTGACTGGAGGTCAGCTGTGACCAACAGTGCTGTGGAATGGAGGGTAAAAGGGAGAAATGCGTCAAGAGGAAGATACATCATGCCAACTCTGACAAAGGACCACTTTCCATCAAGAAACTGAAGTCCTCACTATGGAAAAACATGTTAGTCAAGAAGAGGTCTCCACAGTTACCTATGGACCCACTTCGAAGGCTATCCTAGTCAGACACGGGCGATTGCCAGTGATGATGAATGATGCTGGAGTTACCTTAGCATTTTGGTTTTATTAGTCGAGCTCTTGGTTGAGTCATCATTTGATTCTCAAACTTAGTTGTTAACACATTATTTTTATTATTAATAATACGTTTTATTACCTGCCTCTACTTTCGGCTTGAGATGGGACACAACCTATTCAGATACGGCCTC